CTGCCATGCAAGATCATATGGAATCTCAAGATAAACGTCACTAGCTTTTACAACAAACCATGGAAGCTTACAAGATGTTTTTTCAAGCAACCATGGACTTTTTGTAAACTCAGGTTTCGTCCCTTATTGTGAAACATACCATTACACCTCATTCATCATCTATACTCGATCCTATTACTATCCGCACCTCCCCTTTAGTTTTTATTCTCCATCTGGGTCAATCCATTCCCATGACCAATTGAAGGTGTTAATTTAACGTAGTCCTTGGTATTTAATGGTTTCACACACTTGAGTCTATTATTCAAGAAGGTATCATCAACCCCAGCACCAGCCCGTTCTTCTCACTTGTCTTGCTCGTTAAAAAGAAAAATGGCACTTGACATTCATGAGTTGACTACAAATTGCTCAAGCTCAACGTGGTAACCATTGAGGTCAAATTACCAATTTCTCCAACATTGATTTCCGCTCAGGTTACCACCAAATTCGTGAGGTTCCCGAAGACACACATAAAACTATTTTTCGAACCTTTGTTGAGCACTATGAGTTCCTAATTATGCCATTTGCCTAACTAATTCTCCTTCTATGTTTCAATTTGCCCTGAATGATTTGCTTAGACCCTATTTGCACCAGTTTGTATTAATTTTCTTTCATGATATTGTAGTCTGTAGTTCATCTTTTAATTGGCATGATGAACAATTAATTTTTTGCCAAATTTTCTAAGTGTCATTTTGTTATAGCTATTGTTAATTATCTAGATCATATCATTTCTACAACTGGTGTTCTCCTGATGATGACAAAATGAAAGCCATTCTACAATGGCCAAAACCACGCACCCTCACGATACTTCGAGGATTTCCGGGCCTTATCAATTTCTGTACACCTTTTGTTCATCATTAGACCAGACTCGTTGCTCCTCTCACCAATCTTCTTTTGTTCTAACAATTTACATGATATATAGAAGCATCTCAGGCTTGTATAGAATTACAACACCACATGGATAAATTTCCTACTCTAACCTTGCTTCATTTTTCTAAGGCCTTCATCTTAGAGACTGAAGCTTCCAGTGTAGCAATTGGTGTAGCTCTAAGTCACAACCAGTGTAGCAATTGCTTCATTTACATGATCTCTCACTAGCCTTCTTCAGTAAAAAAATGTGTCCATGCCTCGATCACTCTTCTCTTTATATTTGGGAAATATACGACCATCACTAAGCCATAAAAAATTGGTGGCAATACTTATTACGCCACCCATTTCAAGTTTGTACAAATAAGAAAAACTCGAATTCTTTATTCACCAAAACCATTCAAACACCAGGGTAACAAAAATGGACAGCAAAGTTTCAAAGATTTCAATCTAAGATTTTTTACCAATCTGGACACAATAACGTTGTTGGGGATACTCTATCCCACGTATTTACCTGAACTGGTTTTGCCATCATATAGTCACTAGTACCACAGTTATTTCACACCCTCCACCAATAATATATGTCCACAACATAGGGTCAAGCATTAGTCTCCAAAAGTAAAGAACAGAGTGGCATGCAGACAAAAATCAATTTTTCTAATGCCATGTTATATTTCAAGGACAAATGTTCATACTTGATTACGTCAACCTTCGAAAACTTTTGTTAATAGAGTTCCACTATCTCTCTCCCACAGGAGGTCACTCTAGAAATAAACTAACAGTTGCTCCTTTAGTTACCTCTTTTTTCAAGTCTGACTTCCAATGTGATACCATGAAGTTCATACAATCATGCCACACTTGTCAATAGAGTCAAAATTTACCAACAAAGAAACAAGGATTGTTAAAACCACAACCCACCTCGGCCCAGGTATGTGAAGAACTAACCATGGATTTTATTACCCATCTTCTACCTTCCTTTTGTCACAACCATTTGGGTGATATGCAACCATCTGACCAAGTATGGCCACTTGTTGGCTCTTCCACCGCGCTACACTGCATGCTCTCTAACTCTTCGTTTCTCTATGGAAATTGGTCATCTACATGGCCCACCTAAGTCCATCATCTCAGATCATGATCCACTCTTTCTCAGTGCTTTCTAGAAAGAATTCTTTCAATTACAAGACACAAAACTCAAAATTTAGTTCAGCGTATCACCCACAAACAGTCAGATGGTCAATCTAAAGCACACAATTGAGGTCTCCAAGCATACCTTCATTGCTTTTGTATGACTAGCCATGTTCATGGTACAAGTTCTCCTCCACTTGGCTGATTACTGGTACAATTTGTCCTTTTATTCCCCTATTCTAATGACCCCCTTCCAAGGGTTGTATGGTCGTCCGTGCTCTACTTTTCGAAACACACCCACCAAAGTCACTAGCAGCTATCCTAGAGAACCAAGAGTCCATCTACAAACAATGAAAGAAAAGATCAAACAAATAAAAATAGACAAGATTGTACCTTTCAATATAAGGTCTAGGTTTAGTTGAAACTACAACCATATCGGCAAACAACAGTTGCCTTTTCCAAATGTTACTTTGGGCCATTCCAAGTACTCTGTCGTATTGGTCATGTGGCATACGAACCTGAATTTCCAACTTCCACTCACATTCATCCTGTTTTTGACATCTTACTGCTCCATCCTTTCCATGGCCAACCCCCTTCAACTGTTATCATCCCATTACCACAAACCTCCCTCATAATAGACGAGAATCCACGAACCTCCCTCACAAAGCAGCGGAATCCACAACACTCCGATTTTCCCCTCGAGCCACACCTTTTACCTTCCTCTGACTTACCCAACCTATCTCCCACCTACCCTATGAACTCACCTTTGCTGCACCTACTTTATCTGCACTCAAGACATTATGTTTCTTACTTTTTCTTGTACTCAAGACACTACATCTATCCACCTGTCTCACCTCCCAAACCAACCAATCACATATACCCACACCCCACCACACCATGTCAGTTGAACCTCACACCTTTAAGCCCATGAACCCCACATGCCACACAAATGCATCCCACCCATTGAGTTACCCCACCACAACCTCAATACTTGTATATCCCACAGACAAATAAATGCAACCCCAACTCTTCTCTCCCAACAATCCACAACCCCAACTGGCCTACCCACTTCCATTTCCCCGATATCGTATACTACATCTATAACTACAGGGACCAGTAAACAGAAGGTTTAAACACCAGTGTGGATGAAAGACCATGTTTTAAATTAAAATTATGTTTTCTTTATGACCTAATAGTACTTGGTCAAATTACTGCAATCCTACCTAATAGTATATGTATGACTCTTTACATTGGAGTTAGGATAATAAGATTAGTTCCTTTCAATCATGTTATCTTTCTAGTTCCTATTGTGTAATATTTTTCTTAGAGTAGTAGTAATAATTGCGTCACACCACACTTGTTGTCAAAGGATTTATTCATGATTCTATTATAAGGAGACACTTTCTTTTATATAAGACAGATTTTATCCGATTAATCATGATATTAGTAATTCATTTATGATTTTGAATCGCATCAAATTGAAAACAATGTTTTTTAATGGTGACGTAGATGAAAGGGTTTATAAGGAATAACCTAAATAATTTTTTATAATAATGGTAAACATTTAGATTATAAGTTTAATAAATTTACTACTAGAAAACTAATTTTTTTCTGAAAATTTTCTTGTAAAAAATTGTTTAAATTTATAGAAAATTTATTTCTTATAATTTTTATAAAAATTTTGCAAAAATATTTCCATAAAAAATGAAAATTTTTAGTAGTGTTATATATAGATTAAAATAAGTTTCTCATAAATGGTATTTGAAATTTCATGAGTTTATATATTTTTGTTTGGTTTTGAATCAATATATAGATTAGAAGGTTAATGTTAGTAAAATTTGTTTTTCTTATTTTGAACATAAATTATTTTTTTTAATGATAAGGTATATTGTATAAGATGAATTTTTATTTTTAAGAATTTGATATGAAATATATGGGTGAGACATTTTATATCTTAAGGTTTTCCAAAAAAACCTCAAAGTATTTTAAGTTTATCTAAATAAACATATAATAACAAAAATTTAGAGAGATTTAATGAAAAAATTTCCTCAAAATGGTGTTCACATCATGAAGGATGATAAACTTAACTTTAATAAATGTTTAAAGAATGACTTTCAATGGGAACACATGAAAAATGTCCCATATGCTTAATAGATTTAATATTTAATTTGTAGTTGGAGTTCTAAAAAGATATTTATAAAGTTATCCAATTATTAACCATTAAAAAACTATAAAAATATAATAAAATATCTTCAACAAACAAATGAATTCATATTTATATTAAGACAAAATTGATAATGAGAAGGTGATAAGTTTTCCCAATTCATGTTAATACTAGAAAATTGATATCAAATTATATTTTTATATCCTGTTTGCATTTATAAATACATTTATAAGTTAATATAATATGATACATAAAGATAATATTCCTTTCTCATGACACTATAATTCATATTTTTGGTTTTTTTTATTATGATTGATAATGGAATACGTGAAACAAGTGAAAAATAATATTTATATTACATGTTGGTTTAAATGTTGTTTTTTAATCATTTGATGGCGCGAGTTTCTTGCTAATAAGACCAATATTATTAGTTTGAAGATAATATCATTTGATAAAGCGAGTTTATACTGTTATAAACATACATGTTATAAGTCCCCACAAATAAAATAAGTTGCAATTGAAATCGAAATGGAAAAATAATGGAAATATAAAAATGTTTTCACCATAAACACGTTGAAAAGATTCATATTTTAATATTTTAATATATATGATGTGGTATGAGTGACATTAATTTTGATGCATGTGGGTGACAGGAACGCGGACCCAACATGAAAACCACCTCATCCCATCAACAAAAATGAGCCACAAACACAACATATGCCTTGTGTGACCCATCTCCAACTGCAGTTATATTTTCCATTATACAAAGAAAAACACAATAAGCAGAGACAGACATCAAACTTATAAGCTAAGCTTTCACTGATGTTTCAATTCCAGCCTTGTACTGCACAAATTCGTGCTTCTCCTCAGCATCCCAAAGCTCTGGAAATGCCTCTCTCATGTTATGAATACTCTCCAATGCATAATCAACTCCCGCTGTACGAACCGATGTACCCACCTGCATCCACGACGCATTTCGATGAGAACTTTATATTCATCGTTAATCTTAATTACAATGTATGTATTTCAGAGAGTCACATTTTATGCAGAGAAGTCTTAGGGCTAATGCAAGAATGAATATGAATACTTTGATTCCAAGTGTGTGCGTGTGTATCCAAATGCAACATAAGATATGTTCCTTATGACTATCTCATTACTTACCGCAACAGTGTGGAGGCCCAAGCGTTTGGCCGTCTGTAAATTGCGGATGCTGTCATCGAAAAACAACTGAAAAGAGCAAAACCAACAAAAGCAGATATAAATAAATGATGTCATTTGTCTGAAAAAGATGTCTAAAGACCAGAGAGCCAGAAAAGTAACAAGTGAAAGTGCAGAAACTAAGAACCATGATGGAGGTTCTTATTTTCCTATGGCATGACTCTACTACCCTTTGGTAAATTATGACTAATGTTTGATAAACAAAAACTGAGAACATATTAAAAAATGAAAACTGATTCTTTTTTTTTTTGGGGGGAGAAATAGTTACCCAATTACAAAAAAAAATAAAACAGCTAAGAAACCAACCTTAGTAATTAGTTATTTTGAAACTAAAGGAAACAGAAACACCTAACAAGGGAAGGGTGCATGTTCTTACTGTTCTTTGAGGATCAATGTCTGCCAAATTGAAAACATATTCAAATGCCTCATCAAATGGTTTGCAGACAAGTGGGGTCCTTGGAAGCACCATAGCAGAATCAAGTCTGCGCATACGCTCACAGAAGTCCAAAATTTCTGCGGTGGATGGTCTGGATTCACAACCATCTTTGTCATAAGAAGGATTGGTGTGGTTGGAGGGATTCAGAGTGTCGAAGCTTATAATTCGTTCAAAGCAGTCCTCCAATCCCAGGCTTTTAAGTGCACTAATTGCATGGTTCGAATCTGCATTTGTAAATATCTGAAAGGAAAGCCGAGAATAGATATCATCATCCTAAAGACAACAATTCCCGTAAGTACTATTTCACCATTAGAAAACAACATAGAAACTTACAATTTTCCTAATAGGCAAGCTTTGCAGAAGGCCTCTGAGAACAGGGTCTGGTTTCAGCAGCACATTATATGGCAATCTCCCATGAACATAACTGTTCAATCAAATGCCATTTTCACATGGTTTAAACTCGATTGAAATGAATTTAAAAAATGGACAAAATACAAACAAAAACGTAAACAAATTACCTATGATACTCATCATACTCAAAGACATAGCCAATTGCCTGGTAAGAGATGACGAGAAAAAATGGCTGATTCTTGTTAAACTTCGATTTTGTATAAAGAAATGTTTGTAATACAATCATTTAAAGGTTTAGAAAACCATACCCTTAGACCAGCCATGGTTGTCCCATAAGTCTTGTACAAGGGAACGTTTAATTCTGCAACTTTATCAGCCTCCATCCCAATTTTTTGAATCATATACTCTGCAATAAACCCATTTTTTTATTTTTTTAAAGCTCGGCTTCAATACCAGATAATTTTATAAATATCAAAACGGGACAACATTTGGTTATCCTTTTAATTTCGGGGGCATAATAGAGGTAATTATCATATAATGTGCAATTTATTTTATATTCAAATAATGGAAGTCTGCAAATTCAGTACCTTCGATATTTTTTGCTATTTGCTCACAAATTCCAGAACTATAAGGATAAAGGGTGTCATCAAGATCTGAAATTAAAAAAAAAAAAAAAAAGTTACAAAACCTAGGCAGGACAATGAAGCGAAGTAAGAGAGAACATAATCAACATTGATCGTGAAAGCTTACCAAACAAAAGACAATCATATTTTGGCTTTTGAACTTCCTGGAACTTGTGCCCGTCTTCCATTTTAACCTGAATTTTAACGCCTAATTAAAAGTACAAACGTGAAAACACGGTTAGTGAGGAAAACATAAAATAATAAACAACCCACCCCAACAACAAAGACCCATGAAATGAAACCGCGTATCTTTGCCTGAAAAACATATTTGACTACCCAGATTAAAAAAAAAATTAACATGAAAAAACGAAAACCTTTTACTTCTTACGGATAAAAACGAAGTGAAGGCGAGCACAATTTATCAATGTTGAAGTAAATGGCAAGCAGATTCAGAAAAGACAGAGAATAAGAAAATACTTGCAGTAGCGAGAGAGGAAGAAGAAGGGAGGAGGGAAATATAACGAGGAAAAGAGGGAAGCAGAGAGAGTTTAAATAGAAAACAACGTTGCAGAAATAGAGAAGAGAATTGGCTTCATGTGCTGTATTGTTGAGTCTAGACACGTCAACGACGACGTTTTAAGTAGGTTGAAGATCTGGAAACAGAAGAAACTAATATCTAATTCCTTGTTTTTTTTCAAGCCATCCCTTTCTGACTTGTATTATCTAATCTTCTCACCTATTGACACGTTCTTCACTTCTTCTTTTTTTTTTTTATATTATGCACATTGAGTCATCTTATATCCCTAAAAGATTTCTCCCCAGTTTTTTAATCAATGACGATTAAGAAAATATTAAGTAAAATTAAATTATTTAATACCTTTAAAGAAACCAAATCACTTAACTTTAAAATTAAAAGATCAAATTGTTTTTCTAACACTAAAGAGATTAAATTAAAGAAAAAAAATACAATTTTTGCGTGATAAAAGAAAGTTTGGGAACATTTTTTCTTCTCTTGATTAGGAGCGCTTAGACAATTACTTTTAATTATTTAATTTATCATATATTATTTGATAACAGTGTTAATTACTGTGGCATTTTAAAAAATGCATTAAATGTAGAGTGGAATTTTATGCATATTATTTTATACTTTGTTTAAGATTTTTTAAAAGAAATTAATGAATCCAATAATTTTCTTTTCACTTTAATACGATATTTATAAAAATTTCTATATCACCAATTTCATTTCTATATTAATATATATATATATATATATATATATATATATATAATAATTAGATGAAGGGCAAGGTATAAATGAAATAAGTAAATACAAGTAATAATGTTTTAAATTTTAAAAATATAGTTAAATAAAAAAAATCTGTCACCACTCTAACAGTTAAATTTAAATTTCTTAAATCTTCTTTAATAATTTATTTCTAAAATATTTCTATCTTTAAATCTAGACATCATTCTTAATAAATATGATCTGAGGGTAATTTAAGAAAAATACTTCTTTCTTATTTGAAAACAATTATATTAAATGAACTTCTTATTATTATTAAAATAAGTATACAAATAGTTAATATTTGTTTATAATTAGATTCAAAAGTAAAATTTAAATTATAGTAGAGTATGTATGTATTAATTATTATTATTATTATTAACGTTAGAGTAACTTGAAGAAACATAGATTTAATGTTATTAATTACATTAAAGTATTTTATTAATTACTCTACCCCAGTTTTTATATAATCTTAAGACATATGTTATTAATTATTAGTTTTCTTTCACTTGAAAATGTAAAATAATAAAAAAAGAAATTGAATAGATAAATTAATAAAATAAAATAAATCTTAATTACTGTTTTTTCACTCACACATAGAAAATATAAAACTAAATATTTTTTTTATCTTTCTATAATTTTTTATTTTTTTCTTTTTATCTTATATTTATTATTCTTTATATTCTATAATTTGTAAATAATAATAATAATAATTTTTATATTTTTTCTTTACAATAGTTAATGAGAGTGTGATTTTGACACATTTTATTAAGATGTGTAGTTCTACTGTCATGTAACTTTTTATTTTTATTTTTTTCCCCGTTTTTTTTTTTTTTTTGTTTATTGTGATATTTTTCTGTCAATGTGTTGACTAAATTCCCTAACTTATGAGCATTCTGATAATTTTAGAGAGGTATTGATTTACTTTAATAAAGAAAATGATAATCATTTTGGTAAAATAGTAAGAATTAGACAAAAAATTTATATTGTTTTTCAGGAAAATAAATAAAAAATATTACCATTTGAAAGAAAGAAAATATAAATATAGACAATATTTTATAAAATAAAAATAAAATCAAAATATTGTGATAGTAGTGTTTAGGGTTTAGTGTTCAACCATACTCTTACTTTGCTTAAGAAGACAAGTCAATAGTAATTTATATTCGTCATCATTTCTTAACTCATTAAATGTCTTTTAAGAATAAAATAATGACAAACGAAAACTCCAAATTAACTCTAATGATAATTTGTGTCCTTAAAGTTTTGTTAATATAAATTAATTATTATTTTTTTCAACTTACACATATAAAGTAGAGATTAATAAACATAACATTTTATCTTTCCATAATTTTTCATTTTATTTCTATTTTTTATAATTTATATTGTTTTATTCTTACCGTCTTATTTGTGTGTTTGCAAAAAGAAAAAATAACAAATCTTAATTTGTATTTATATTCTTATAAAAGATGACAATAGTGTGATTTGTACTCATCTTAACGGGACAATATAAACTTATTTTTAAGTCATCTTTTATTTTAATTTATTTTTTCATTAGAAAATGCCAATGGTTCTTCTTATTTTAAGATTAAAGACAAAAATTCACAATTTTTTGTTTATTATGATATAAATAAATAAATTTCTTAGATTTATTTAAATTGTTGTTATTACGATATTTTTTACTCAATAGTTTTCTTCGAACTTGTTCCGTTTCTAAGGAAGATGAGGAACAAATTTTGTTATAAAAAAAACTAGTCTCTAAAAAATATTTATAACTTTTTTTATCAAAATAAGATAAAAAAATTATAAAAAAATGTTGATATTTAAGTAAAAATGTATGAGCATATGCATGGGGCATGGTTATGTGTATGAGATTTATTTTAGTGTTTTCTGTTTAGTCTGTTACTTCTATTCTTAGTGTATATAAACGTCATAGTTTTCATACATCAATAATATGAGAAAGTCTTCATTCTCTATCAATAGCTGTTAAGTGGTAAAAAGTTGATATAATTATACCTTGAAGTGTTATGAAACCACTTAACTATTGCTAATTCTAATCTATTTTTCTCTCAATATAGGATGAATTCAAGAATATCTTGATACAAGAGTAAAGAGCATGATTGATAGCATAATTTTAGTAAAACTGAAAAAATGAAGAAGATTTTCAGCATGAAAGTCGCTCGAGCGGGATGGATTCTTGCTTGAGCGAATGTTAGTTATTCTTCTCTGAAATTCACTTGCTCAAGCGAGTCAAGACTCGCTCAAGCAAATATCAGTGATTCTTCTCTGGAAGTCAGTCGCTCAAGCGCACGAAAATTCGCTTGAACGAATGTTAGTTATTCTTCTCTAGAGTTTATTCGCTCAAACGAGCGTTTTGTCGCTTGAGCGAAAACAGGCTACTTTCGCTTGAGCGAAAGTTCTCGCTCGAGCGAAAGACGCGAAGCCCAAAAACCCAAAATTTTCCAATTTAAAGAGAATATGTGTTTTGAGAAAAGTAAGCAGTCTTGGAGAGGAGGAGACACAACTACTATTAGAATTTTGTCCAATATTCATCAATTCTTCACTTCTTCATCAATTGGAGCATTGTAATGGCCAACATGAGTGGCTAACTTCATTCTCTTAGGATTCGGTGCACTTCCTTTGAACTCTTTTGTATCATGGTGATATTTTGAGATATTAATCTATGTTTTGATGTTGTTATTCTTATCCTTTATGCTTTGGAATGATTTATTCTTGATGTTTGGGGTATGATTGGAAAATATATCTTGAACCCTATATCACAGTAAGAATATTTGTTACGTTAATTACCAGAAATGGAATGAATGTATCAATTGCTTAACACCATAAACCTAATGCTGAAAAATCTCTTAATTGTATGAGGAATCAACATTTATTAGGTTTTCTTATGAATTTCATGTGTGAGGAATCAACATGGATGATTTAAGTAGGTGGCATCAACATTGTTAGGGTAATTGACGTTCTTAATTGACATAGTCATTACAAAAGAGGGATGAGGAAGGAAGTCAATCCTAAGTATCTTTAATTGATATTTTCTCAACAATTTACAGTTCTGTCATTTAATTTCAATTCAACTTTTATTTGCAAAACTCAATCTGTTTAATCTACTTAGTAAGCATAATTGGGAATTTCCATTGAAACTGTTCCTCGTGGGATCGACTTTTATTTAATTGAAATACTATACTGCGATTGATAATTTTGGTACGCTTGCCAATAATTCAACAAGTATTTCTGACGTCGTTGTCGAGGAACGATGTTCTTTGAGAATTCTTTGTGTTAGCTTATTGATTATTTTATTTTTTATTTTTATTTCTATTTTTGTTTTATTTTTCAGTTTTAGTTTTTAGTTTGTGTTAATCTTTTCTTGAGTTACTCTTTTGATTTATGCGTTTAAGAGGACAGATATCTTCAGAGCAGTTAGAATTTAATCCAGAGATTGAAAAAATAACTCGGAGGAACCGGGGTAGAAGAAGAAGGGAAACTCAAGAACAAGCCACAAGAGAATCTGCTAATTCTTCTTCCACACTTGATTTACAAGACCCAATTATAGAAGATATGGCGGAATAAGGAGCAAATCTGAATTCGAATCCAGATCCCAATATAAATCCAAATCAAAACACAAATTCAAATCCACCTAGAAGAACTCTTAGAAATTGTGTTATGCAGCAAGGTCCAAGGCATTTTTCCAGCATTGTCATTCCGGATGATCATACATTGAAGATGAATCCATCCTTCTTAAGCTTGATTAATGCTCATCAATTCATTGGATTGGATCATGAAGACCCTTATATTCATTTGTCTACTTTTTATGAGTTGATTGGTACCATGGGATTTAGAGCAGCAAATATTGAATCTGTATATTTGATATTATTTCCTTTTTCTTTGGCAGGTAGGGCAAAGGAGTGGCTGAAAGCACATCCTAATCAGAGTTTGACTAATTGGAGTAGTGTAGAAGAGAAGTTTCTGAACAAATTTTTCCCACCATCCCGTTATATCAAAGCAAAATTTGACATCACTTCTTTCAGACAAGGAGCAGATGAACAATTTTGTGAAGCATGAGAGAAATTTAAATCACTATTGAGAAGATGTCCAAATCATAGATTTGATGACATTGCTCAGTTGAATATTTTCTATATTGGGTTGCAACATGATGCAAAGATGTTATTAGAGGCTGCAACAGCATGATCCATGTTGGATGTAGAAATTGAGCATGCCACAAGAATTATTGATGCACTAGCTTTTACAGACCAACAGGCTCAACATGATAGACATCCAATTCAAAGGAAGGGAGTCCTTGAATTTAACACCACAGATGTTCTCTTAGCCCATAATAAAATTTTGACCCAACAAATTGAAGCATTGAACTAGAAAATAGAGAAATTACCTCAACAAATGCACATAGTACAATCTATTCCTAATCAACAGATGAGTTGTGACGTGTGTGGAGGTGATCATGCAAATGAACAATGCTCTTATCAAGGCAACATTCAACAAGAAGAAGTTAATTATATGGGTGCTCAAGGTAGTAGTCAAGGCAGACAAGGTAATTTCCCTAATCCCAACAATTATCAGAATAATATTGCCCAAGGATGGAGAGGGAATCAGAATCATAATCAAAATCAGAATAAGAATAAGATTTTTTGGTGGAAACAAGGTGTTAGTTCAACTACTAGACAACCTACATTTCAACAACAGTCATATCAGCAACCTCCATATCATTAGCAACAATAACATTATCCTTCAGTGCCTGACAGAATAAGTAAATTGGAGGATATTGTAGAAAAATTCATGCAAAGCACTATGACTAATTAACAAAATACTGAAGCTTCATTCAAAAATATTATGGCTAATCAGAAATATACTGAAGCTTCATTCAGAAATATAGAGACCTAGATAGGCCAACTGGCTAAGCAATTATCTGAGCAGCAACAAAGAGGATAATTTTCAGCTAACACATAAACTAACCCCAGGAAGCAATGCAATTCAATAACTACAAGGAGTGGTAAGGTTATAGGAGAAGGAATTGGTGAGAACCTGGCTGTAGAAAAGGAAATCCTACAAGAAAAATAGGATGAAAAGAAGAAAGATGAGTGTGAAGGAGAAAAAGAGAAAAATAAAAGTGAGAGTATAGAAAAAGAAAAAAATACTGAAAAAGAAAAGAAAAATAAAAAGAGTGAGAAAAAGAGGGAGAAAGATGATAGTCAAATTCTACAATTAAAGGATTTACCATATCCTCGTCATCCTTCCAAGAAAGATAAAGAAAGACAGTTTGCAAGATTCATGGATAGTTTCAAGCATTTACAGATTAATATCTCACTTATGGAAGCTATGGAGCAGATGCCGACTTATGCAAAATTCATGAAAGAGTTGTTAACTAAGAAAAGGAGATTTACTACAGAAACAGTGGAGCTAGAAGCAGGATGCATCGCTATAATTCAGAAATCATTACCTCAAAAGTCCAAGGATCCTGGCAGTTTCACTATACCAGTCACAATTGAGACATTACAAGTAGGTAAGGCATTACTCGATTTGGGTGCTAGTATAAATCTAATGTCTTTGTCTATGCTTAAAAGAATAGGAGACTTGGAAGTAAAGCCTACAAGAATGACACTACATCTAGCTGACATATCTCTAAAGATTCCTTATGGAGTAGCAGAAGATGTTTTAGTTAGAGTGGATAAATTCATATTTCTTGTTGATTTTGTGATTATGGACATGGAGGAAAATGAGGAAGTCTCATTGATCCTGGGAAGGCCATTTATGAAGACTGTCAATGTAATTATAGATGTTGACATGAACAAGTTGAAAATTAGAAGTGAAGATGATGAAGTTAATTTTAATCTATTTGAAGTTGTATAACAACCGGAAGACAAGAAAGATTGCCTCAGAATAGATACTTTGGAGGAATTACCCATCTAAACTGAAAAACAAGATTACAAGCCTATTGCACAACCCCAAAGACATCTCAATCTGACTATGAAGGAAGTTGTTCAAAGAGAGGTACTGAAACCTCCTGAAGCAGGTATGATTTATCCAATCTCTAACAATCGTAAGGTTATTCGCAATGAAAAGAATAAATTCATTCCCACAAGGACAGTCAAGGGATGGAGAATGGGTATATATCACCTTGATCACTCACCTGCATGAGCCCTAAAACAAATAGGCGTCAAGCTGAAGACGTTAAACAAGCGCTCCTGGGAGGCAACCCAATGTTTTGAATTTGTTTTTTTTTCTTTTTGCAGTTTAAGTTTTTTGTGCATTTTTCTTCCTTAGGTTCTTTCTTTGCAAGATTGCTCCAGGTATACAGTGAACTTCTCCTCAAGACTTTGAAGTCTTACTTCAATGGCCTGGGGACAGTCCAACTTTTTCGGAGGGGGTGAGAAAGTCCGCAACTGAGGCTGAGGCACAAGATAAGGAGTAGATGACAAGTGAAGAAAATGAGGGAGGAAACTTACTTTATTTTTAATGTTTTTAATTTAATGTTTTTAATTGCTTTATTTTAAATTTTGAATTCCCTTGCTGTTTCATAATTTGTTTTAGAGTCATATATGAGATTTGTGTTTATTATCTAATTCAAATCTAGAACGTGAAAAATCATTTTGATTGTTTCCAATAACAAATGATTTTTGGGATGATGAGTATGATAGTAAAAAGGAATTGATGAGGAGAATTATGAATTAACTGAATTGGAGAAGCTATCCAAAACCCAGGTGAGTAGAGAACCAAAAACATATAAATTAAGTGTCAACACTTTGTGATTGATAACTGATATTGGTTGATTCTTTGATGTGATTACATGTTGGCAGGACTTGAAAATGATAAAGACAATTTTTTTCTTTGTAGTAGATATAACCCAGAGCCAAATAGCCAACCCTACATTAATTTTATGACATCCATTTGAACCCCTTCTAAGCCAAAAATAATATTGTTTCTTAAACAAAACCCTTAAGCCTAAATACTATTTATCTACCTTCTTATATTTGAGAAAGGAAATGAGTATGAATGTCACTATATTTCTTATTGTTGGGTATTGCTATTGTTGTCCTACAGGTATTATTGGGGTGTTATTATTAAAAAAAAGTGTAAAGAAAAAGGAAAAGCAAAGCTTAAAAATTGGCAAAGCCAAAAAGGATACATGCAAAAACATGAAAAAAAAAGTATAAAAGTAGTTCAAGGGGGGAATAATAACTTGTGAGATTATTAACTCACTATCATTGTGTTAGGTACAAAAGCATGAAGTTTGAAACCTGACTTGAGGAATTGTTAATCAAGAATCATTAATATGAGTTGAATTTCTCAAATATTTTTGTATATCCCAGAAAAACCAATAATTCTTTCTTAGCCCAGCCCCATTACAAGCCTTAAAAGACCTTTTGATTTAAGTTTTGTTTAACAATTGTTGATTGCTTAAAGATGATTATCAATATTGGATTGTCTAAATAAAGTGATTGAATGAGATAAACACTTACCTGTGAGAATTAGAGATGAGTATATATAACTTTATTTGAAAGATCATGCTTCTCTGAAGATAGTTGAGGACAAATTATTCTTTGTTGGTTTCTATAACTTGAATGCTTATGTGTTCTATTTTCATTTG